CGGATGCATCCGAAGAAGTGAGGTTTTTACTCACGAAAGCTTATGCCCAAATAAATCTGTTAGTCTTTAAGGTGCCACCAGACTCCTTGTTGTTTTTGTAAATACCGGGTTAGATGGGCCCCAGGTCTGATTCAGTCTGGCAATCCCCAGGCCAGTTCTGAGAGGTGTTTGAGGGTGAGAATGGGTGAAACACTGGCTGGGTTTGCAAAGAAGCCCAAGGGATTTAGGCACCTATTTCCCAGTGATTTTCAATCCTGGACAATTTTTCAGACCGTGTCCCTTTGGGGCTGCTCCGAAGTCCATTGGAGTCAGTGGCGATGGGGCAGAACAGGCTTTGGGGCAGGCCCTGTGTCTCCGCAGGGCTCTGTGCTGGTGCTTTTACCAGCAACTCCCACAACATTGACCGGTCGCCCTCACTCCCACGGATGCTGCTTTGCAGTTTCCCACTTGGTGTCTGAGAAGGGACCGACCCCGGCAGCCCCTGGGAGCGACGGAGCCGGGAGCAGAGATACAGCGACAGCCCCTGGGAGCGACGGAGCCGGGAGCAGAGATACAGCGACAGCCCCTGGGAGCGCAGACACCTGCACGGGAGAATGCAGCGCCCGCCTGGAGCGTGTCCGATCCCAGCTGTGCCACCCGGCCCCGCCCGGCCCAGCAGGTAACCCCAGCTCGTGTGTCTCTGAGCCGCCCTCCGCCCCGGGCACGGCCAGTGGGAACCCAGCTGCCGTCCCAGCCCCTGGGGATCCTGCAGGGCAGGGACACGCCGCCCCCTGCTGGCTGCACCGATCTAGCCACCAGCCCCGCTCGGTGCCAGGCCATGAATGTACCTGCCTCAACTGGGACTGTGCATGGGGCAGCGCCATCTACTGGCCATTCAGGGTAATACCCAGCCATGAAGATTTTAATAAGAATGTCATACAAAGCTGTCAATTTTTTTTCAGGGTGCGTGGTGGGGTTTCACATCTTATTAGTGAGATTGTCTTACGGTCCCACCCCTCCCGTTCCCCATCACCCCTGGGTCCCAGACTCCCCTCCAGTTTAACACCACTCCTTCCCCCCAGTTACTCCAAGACCCTTCTAGGCCATTCTGGCAGTGTAAAGGGGCCTTAAAGTGGGTCCCAGGGCCCCTGAGAATCTCCCCTGTCATGGGGGGGCCTCTCAGGCTGGTGTGGAGCTGGGGTAAGGGCCCTCACCCACCCTGTCCCCAACCCCCAAAATGGGGGGCAGATTGGCAGTGTGGCTAGAGTGCAGTGCCCTGTGGGTGTTCTCTGCTTCCCAGGGCCCATACGGGAGCACTGGATAAGGCAGAGCAACCCCAAGGCTGCTCTAACTTAAACTAGGAGACAGGCTGGGCCGGCCCAGCTCCAGATTTCAGGGAGCACAAAGGGGACTGAACCCATTTGAATCCCGTTCCTGCCCCAGTCACGTGACAGGAGTAGCTGGGAATGAGGCCTAGAGGGCTCAGAGCATTAATGACGCCTGTCTCTCTGCAGGGGGCTCTGGGTGCAAACTCTGCCCCACGGACTGGCAGCTGCGCGGGGACAAGTGCTACTGGGTCTCCAGAGCACGTAAAACGTGGAGCGAGAGCCGCGCCGACTGCTCAGCGAGGGACTCCCAGCTGCTGGTGATCCAGGACCCTGAGGAGCTGGTAAAGGGGATTTGGACACTCCATTCACATTAATTGTTGATAATGGGGTGTCCAAACCCCCAAGGCAGCTTTGACAATCCCAGCCTAAATCACTAGCCCAGGATCAGGGGCACACAAAGGCGGCTTAAAGCCACTGGTACCCTCCCCTGGTGTACCCCTCCTTCTGGGGTGTGCCCAACGCAGCTGAGCTGGAGAGAGGGGCTGGGTGTGTGTGAGGACAGGTGGTTACAGAGAGACGGGGGATGGATGGATGGATGGATGGATGGATAGATAGAGGGGTGTCTATGGGGGATAGTTGGATAGATAGATGGGTGTGTATGGGGATAGATATATGGGGATGGATGATGGGTGTATATAGGGATAGATGGACAGACAGACGTTGTTGATAACCTGGATTCACAAGAAAAGAGCCCGACAGCACATCTGGTCACCAGCTGCCTGTCACACACTCACTGCAGGAGTTCATAAAGGACCTGACAAAACATTCACATCTGTTCTGGATCGGACTGTCCGTCTCCTCCTCGGAGAAGGCCTGGATCTGGGTGGACGGTTCCCGGCTGGATCAGACCCTGTGAGTGATTCCTTGAGTCAAACACTTTCCCTCCCCTCCGTGGGCAGAAGGGGCTAGGGCCAGGGATGGGGGAGGTTTGGGGGGAAGGTCGGGAGCTCAGGGGGAGCCGTGTTCAGTGTCAGATGATGCTGAGACCCCAGGAGGGGGGATGGGGAGCCCGGCTGAGGGGGGCGGGGAGGGAGCAGACAGGGCCATGGGGCAGGGAGAGATTTGCCCATCCCCCAGCACAGAGATGGTGGCTGGAGCCCTGGGGGCGGAGGGAGATGGCTCAGAGATGGGTGTGGAGTGAGAAAAGCAAAGGGGCCAGGCCAGAGCCCTGGGGATCCCCCAGACAATGGGGCAGGGGGAGTGGGAGACACAGAGCAGTCAGAGAGGCAGGAGAGGACCAGGAGGGGGCAGCGTCTGCACAGCCCGGTGGGGAGGAGACCCAGGGCAGGGGAGGGAGATGGACAGGGCCTAGCCCAGCAGGGAGGACGAGGCTGGAGCAGGTCCCTGGGCTCTGGGCAGGGACAGGCCGTTCGAGACCCTGGCCAGGGCCCTGACAGTGGGGAGAGGGGGCAGCCCCAGGGCAGAGCTGGAGGAGATGACGGCTGCGGATCCCGTTGGAACAGGGAAGAGCCGCTATCGTCTGCGTGTGATGGACCCACACACATTGGCAGGGGCCCTCTCCTTTGTCCCGCAGGTTCCAGGCACCAGGCCCGGCTGAGAACAGCTGCGGGGCGGTGTGGGGGAAATGGATTCATTCTGACGCCTGCAGCTCTGTACTTCATTGGATTTGCCGGAGAGACGCCGTCCCACTCTGAGCAGGGGATCCAGGGCTCTTTACTAATGGGAAGGAGCCTTTCATCACTAAAACCATCGTGAATGATCTTTGACACTTCATGTGGTGCCTGTCATGTGAAGATCTCAAAGCTCATCAGTGCTCAGTGCCTGACTTCAGTACCGGGCAAACTGATTGAAACTATAGTAAAGAACAAAATGGTCAGACACAGAGAGGAACATAATTTGTTGGGGAAGAGTCAACATGGATTTTGTAGAGGGAAATCACGCCTCGCCAATCTACTAGAATTCTTTGAGGGGGTCAGCGGGCATGTGGACACGGGGGATCCAGTGGATACAATGTATTTAGATTTTCAGAAAGCCTTTGACAAGGTCCCTCACCAAAGGCTCTTAAGCAAAGTAAGCTGTCATGGGATAAGAGGGAAAGTTCTCTCGTGGATCGGTAACTGGGTAAAAGATAGGAAACAAAGGGTAGGAATAAATGGTCAGTTTTCAGAATGCAGAGAGGTAAATAGTGTTTGCCCTATGCCCACCTCGGCCGCCTTTGGCTCCGGCCTGTCGGTTGCTGGCCCATGTGTGTCCAGGAAATCCCAGCCTGCAACGAGGTTTGCAATCCGAGGGAACCGGCGGGAGCTTTCCCAGGGGCTGTATAAGGGGGACACGGGAAGCTGATGACTGGGCCACGCAGACTCTTTCAGGCAGGTTCCCGAGATCCCCAGCCCGGTGGTGCATCTGCGTCCCTTTCCAGCTGCCTGATTGACCCCTCCCCCTCCGATCCCACCTGGCTCTGCCATTCCTGGGAGCGGCCCGGGAAACCTCCCAGAGAGCACCAGTGTCCAGGGGGGTTAGGAGCCTACAAGGGTTACTACAATACGGCTGAGACCCAAGGGGATCGAGGGCAGCTGGGGAACCGGCTTCTTCAGCCCCAGACACGGTCCCTGGGTCTTTACTGCACCAGCCTGAATTGCACAAACCCTGGGCCCCGTTCCTGTCCCCGCTGCACCAGCAGGGAGCCCGTCGCATTGAGTGGGGCAGGCAGAGGGGGGAGCCGCGCCCGGTGCCCCTAGCCCATGAGAACACGGCCTTGGATTTGTTTCTAACACGGGGGCCCCCACGCGCCAGGCGGCCAGATGGACACATAGCGCAGATGGATCTGCTCTGCGACCCCCTTCTCCTCGCTGTGAATGGGGGGCCCAGGTGACTAAACGGGCGAAATGTACAAGGCGAAAACCTGCATTCCCTGCGCCGGCCACGCCCCCTTGGAGTCGGGGGGGGGGCAGGATCCTAGGCAGAGGGCCCCAGCTGCAGGGAGTTTGGTGTGAGGGTCTCTCCCCAGGCACTTCCCCCCCAGCTCAGCACGATCCCAGCCAGAGCCGCGTGCTGGAGCCGTGGGGACCGGCGCAGACTCGGGGGAGACGCTGCGGGACAGGAGCGTCGGGGGCAGAAATTTCACTGGCAACGTTGGGGCCTGATTCTGCGCTCAGGGGGCCAGATCCTCAGCTGGTGTAAATCAGCCCAGTGCCCCGTCCCGTCAGCTGGAGCACAGAGCGGTGACCCCAATGGAGCGACGGCCAGTTCCCCCCAGCTGGGATCTGCCCCATTGACCCCAATGGAGCTACGGCCAGTTCCCCCCAGCTGGGATCTGCCCCATTGACCCCA